TAGACCCATCAGATGATGAATCCACCATGCTCTTGAAGGATGGAAGTAGTCCAGTGTAAAAAAATCAAATCTGTGTCTTCTTGTCAAAGCCATGTTGAGGACACTTCCTTAACACATTTTTGAAACGATTTCATGCATCTTCAAATGATTCGGACTCACATTGGTTGAATATAGAGATGTTATGCCGCATTTTGCCTACCTTAGCTGGCGAGAAAAACTTGGTTTAGAATTTATAGGCTAACTCGTTTCAAGTAGTGATGCTTGCGACGGGAAGTGAATCCAGCCATTCAAGTGCTTTATCGCGCAAAGTGTGTGGAAACAAATGTAGTCTTATAGTATCGTCTGAGATACCCTAGTACCTGAAGTGTTGGCACATGTCCAGAAATCGGGATATGTGTGTATGTGGGTTCTCACTAGCCATCCCGTGGTATTGATGCCCATTCTAAAATAGTTGAATCATATTTGTTTTCAGCTAGAAGTTCGGTTGCCCAAATGGAGGATACACAATGCTAGATTGACTTTGGACCACCAACGGTGCCATGAAGTCCCCAAGTATTGTATTCCCATCATCTTCAACTGCTATGCCTTCGTTGAGTGGAATTATCGATCGATTTTGCTCGTTAGCCATTTGTTGTGCCGCTGTTGCTTCTCTTTGCCTGAGACGAAATGTGCGTTCGATCTCTGGATCTACGGGAACCAAGTCTCGATCAGGTGCTCCTTGCATACAAACCCTGAGATAGCAAAATTAACAAAAAATTAAATTAAAGTAGATAATAACTAAGCCTAGTAGGCTAACTACTACTAATCTAGATAAGTTTGAATTAGTGTCACAAAAGATAAAATTAAAACTAAATTTCAATCCCCGACAACGGCGCCAAAAAATTGTTCACGAAATTATTTCTTTCGATTTAAAACTAATGCAAGTGTACGGTTCGTTAACAAGTAATAAAGTGGATTAAATGAGTTCGAAGATCGTCCCACAGAGATTGATTAGTTCAATTTTACCTATCGTCGCCTTAACCGAAACTAAATTACTAAAGTGGATGTGAACGTAATTATGCAATTTTTATGATTGAATTAAATTAAATATACAAAAAAAAAATTTAACACTCTAGAATGAAATCAAATGTTGAGAACGCACGTTTGTTGTAATCAATAGAAATTAAACACACTAGGATCACGATTTCACATGCAATAATCACTTTAAAACTCTAGTTTCACAATGTGACAACACACTTCAATTGTGACGAATCAATGTTCCAAAGTCTATCCAATACTCTCTCTCTCTCTCTCTCGAGATGTATCAAACATATTTCTACATACCACCGACCTATATTTCTATGACAAGTGCATATGTAAAAAGGCATGCAGTTTTATGAACACTTAAAGATTCACGTATGGCATAGCGGTATATTTCTATCCCCTATCGGACCCTACGATGAATTATATTAAGTCGAACTTATTCCAATTCTCTCGAATGCAAGAATAAATAACCCAAACTCACACAATTACGGGCCCTTAATGCGGAAACAATAATTGCATATAAATCATTCAAAACAATAGAAATATGTCTTAATGTCAAATTGCAAAACTAGAAAATTAAAGATCAAATTACATGGTACATCGATCTCCTAGCAATGATAAATCTAGCCTAATATGCTAAAAAGAAGAAAACGTAAAAATAGTTGGAGAAAAGTCATCACCTCTTCAATCGAATCTTCACTTGGCGCGATGTTATCTTCTTGTTCTCTCCTCGTTTCTCCTTCAAGATCTCTCAAAAACTTGTAAAAATGGCGTCCCCTTCATTCTGGTCGAATTTTTATTTATATAGGACCCTAAAAATATTGTTTCCATAAGAGTTTCGACGAAAAAAAGAAACTGCGATTTTTCCCTAATATTGCTCTATGTGACCGCATTGAGCATCTCTATGAGGTCACATAGAGTAAAGTTTTTGTGGCACTTTATCTTCGGTTTGCCTCTATGCGACCGCATAGAGGGTAGCACTATGCGGTCCAACTATGAAAAATGTTCATTTTGGTCCTCCTAGTTGAATCCTTCACTTCTTGGCATCTTTTCTTCATTCTTTTCATTCCATCATCCCAAGATATCATCAATTGGCAATTGACCTAATCAATTTCTCGATTTGTTCATCGGGTCAACTTTTAGATAATTGCACCTTGGTCCCTGAACTTTCACTTTACGTCATTTTAGTTTTTTTTCGCGTCTTTCTCCTGAATTTCACCGTGTTCATCGTTCCCTACAATTCACAAATGTAACGAGATTAAGTCATAATTCAATCAATTTGTTCGTTATTAAGTCATGTTGTGACCTAAATAAATGTGAAAAAACACACTTATCACATGCTGCTGATATGCATATGCATTATTTTAAAATGAAAGGCATTTCTAAATATGTATCCCTCTTCTTTAAAAACATTAACGTCGTGAGCTCACTTGATGTATCGCCTATAGCCAATCAGAATGCAGTGGGACTTGTTATTTGGAACATAATCGAATTCTACCAATAATACCGTAAAATGGTTAACATTAACATTAATAATGAACATTCATCATTTATCATTGAACATTGGTCAGGTGCAACAGTCCCCCACTCCCCATTTACCACTCACATCTTCATGGCATAAACATACATCTCGTAGCAAAAACATTCGGGATACATATCTTTAGAAATTCATTGAGTCATAACATTTGGAAAACATTTTATTCGTTGAACCATACATTTAATAATATCACGTGCCATTAAGACCCAGGCGGGGAGGGCGGGGGGGTTAATTACTTCAAATCCTTGGCAATTACTTTTAAAATGACAAGTGAAGATGTCCCTAACACCTCACCGGGTCAACATGCCCAAAAATCCTATTTCATTACCATTGATTTGAAAAAAAAAAAAAAAAAAAATAGACTCCTTCTTTATTTATTATTATAATATTAGATTAAATATATAATCCAATATTAAGTACCTTGAGAGAATTCAGCGACTACTATACAACAACAATCAAACACTAGTGAAGGCAGAGTTAAATTTCAAAGGCTCCAGGAATTAGTGTGTATTCTTTTAAACCCACCACCTTACGATAATGAATTTACACCAAAATGCTTACAAACTATTTCTAAAAAATAAAAGTCACTAAAGAAAGACTAATGCAACGACGAAAAGAATGAATAGAAAAGTCATATTAAAGTCCGAGTAAATCTCATAATTAGTATTTAACATAGGTTAATATCTTGTTTAAAACCTTGATTGAGGAGATATAAATATTCAAATATGCTATCTGGGCATAATTTTAAAATAATAGTTTATATAACCTAATTAAAAGATAGCTATTCTCAATGTTAAGAACACAAAATTTATTAATCTCTATCTATATTGTAAATTATTACACAATCTTTACCTATATCAACAAATAGATGACCACATCAGTCAAATAGTAGAAATCAGAGAATGAAACAATAATTAATTATTAATAATTGGCACAAGAACAACAAAGAAAGGGGATGATGTGGAGAAAACATGTCACATATATACGTGTACAAGAACAATAAATTAAGTGTGTTTGAGTCACGTTATTTTTTAAGAATGTATTTTGAAATAGTAGATTGATGAAGAATGTGTGGTTAAAAAATAAGGAAAAGTTTTGGATTTGCGTGTAATATTATTCTAATGAAAAATGTGTGATTGAAATGATGTCAAATCACTGTTTAAGATTATATCTTTTTCAAATAATGCGACTCAAACAGGGCCTAAATTCCATAATGATCTAATAAAGCTGCATGATTTCCAGAACTCAATTAAACCAACATAGAAATAATAAAATAAGGCCCCGTTTGATAGCCTTTGAATTCCAAGAAAAATGGAATTTAAATTCCATCTTTCCAATTTTGTGGTGTTTGATTGGCAAAATTTGGAATGAAATTGATTTTCCATCTTTTATGGCCACATCACCCAATTCCACCAATGGTGGGAATTTCAATTCCACATTTTCACGTCATTTTTTTTAATTTGCAATTTAAACAAATTTTAAGAATTATTGTAATAAATTATATCCCCTTAAGTGACAATTATTGTATAAAACAAAGTTAAACGAATACGAAAAGATAGATGAATTTTGGTTTTCTTAGCCTTTTTTTTTTTGCAATGGAAACAAATTCTATCCTCAATACCAGTAAATTTTATTCCTTTAATTGATAATTTTTATATAAAACAAAGTCAAACGAACAACAAAAAACACTTTTATTTCAACATTTTTCACGTGAAAATTATACCAATTAAACACAATAAATTGACAATTCTCAGGAAAACAATTTCCAAGTAATTCAATTCCCTAGAATTCTTTTTCTTTTCACCCAAATGCCATCTTTGCAATCAAAAGAATCCTAAAAGATAACCTTAATACCTTGTCATATGAAGTAAGATTCGAACTTCGGGGGTGTGAAGAAGAATTATGTAACTTGGGAAGTCTAGTTTATCATGGCTTGTCTAGTAAAATGAGGGATATTAATTTTTTAAACTAACGATGTTCAGTGGGGTGCGATATCTGTTAATTAAGTAATAATACCCCTAATTAGCCTATTAACTTATTTAGTCCTTAAATAAATTCAATTAATTTAATAAATTTCCATTATTAACTATCTTTTCATTATTAAATTAAATTACACCAAATTTACTAAAAATGAGAAACGAATATCTTCCAACTCGATGTCTACGTTCAATTCAAAAGAAAGACAGTACGGAATCGAATAAAGTGCATAATATAATTTAATAAGAGTTAATTAAAATATAAACATTAAATTGAATAAATGAGCACGTGATTCATCTAGGGTGTTGGGATACATTCTACTGTAAAGTTATTCAAGATAAAAATAATTATATTAACTTTAAATTGTAAATATAGCATTAATGCAATTAATCTAGGTAGACATGACAATCACAAGAAATAAGAGCACGACGTAACAAAAACATATTGTTTACGAGTCATTTGTTTATTTCCATACAGAAATGAGTAAAAACATCGACCTTTGAGTCTTCTTTTCTTGCTTGCATAAAAGTTAATCAGTTATACCGTACATAGTAGACACGCATTAGACAAAATTGCATCGGGCAACAAACAAGATTTGGACTTATTTTCCTTCACGGATGTCTGTCTAATTTAACTTGCCAAACATGTCGATAGTTTCAAAGTCCAGTTTCAGATTTGGGATGAGTTACTTTCGTCTAGCTCTCTCAAATACTCAACCCAATCACATGATCTTCCAATCAAATCCTCCAATGGAATTAGAGTGTTCGACTGAAATTCAGTCGTCTGTTCCTCCGCTGCACGAATACTTGCCAAATCATCCATTATCAGTTTTTCCCGCGGAGCAAAATGCTCAGAATTTAACTTCAAAATGCCAGCAGAATCCTGCCCCGGAGTACGCTTTGTATCTGGTGTTTCCTCAATGACATTCTTGCCGTATGTTCTTGCCAGAGGGGTTACTTTTCCATCCACTGGCTCGGCCAAAGTATCAGTACTTCGTTTTTCAATCAATAAGGTTGGATTTTCAACTCCATCGCTGCTCAATTCTCTTAACTGCGGTAGAAATGTCTGCACCATAAACAATACCTTTTTCTGATTCTTCAGCGCATTGCTCAGTGCTTCGTTTTTGATAGAGGCGATTTCTTTCTCTACGGCGTCTTGTTGTTCCTTTAACTTCATGATTTCCACCTTCAGTTCATTCTGATCATTCATCAAGATTTGAAGCTCCTTCTCTGTATCAAGTGAAGATGTATCCACTTTTTGTTCTGTTCTTACAGGTTTCTTCATGCTTTGAGGATATTGGTTTCTTCTCTTTATATATTTCAGCAAATGGATCTTCCCCTTTTGAAAACGCTCGTTCTTGAATTCCCATTGGTCCCAATTGATTTTCTTGAAGCCCTTCAAATATTCACACCGAAGAAATTTTACAACCATCAACTTTCAATTCAAAACAGAAGTTTCCAGCAAACCAATTAGAAAAATGTGAATAAACTGAAGATACAAACTTACATATGTGTTAAGTTGGCATACGAAGCTCTGGAAATTGTTGTGTCGGAAATATTGAGGAAGAATATTAGCAGCAAACAAATGAGCATTCCATATAATAAAGCTAGTTCCAGTCGAATTCCAGGAAATAATGGAGTTTATTTGGCTATTTTCCACCATGTCGTATATCTTCAATAAGAACGGAGGTGGTGGCCGAAATGCACACGATGAACAAGAAGCACAGTTGCCGCCACCACCTTCTCCGACATTACTGCCACTTTCACTTATATCACTTTCTAAAACTACTGTATCTATCAAGACCGGATTTTCAGTTCCGTTGCTCAACTCTTTGTCAGTGCAACTCATTACGTTGCTGTTTTCCTGTTTCGCTTCCATGAGAAAGAGAGAACCTAAAACTGGACTCAGAAATGGTTAAGGTGAAGGGTCTTTACTTAATATATATGAAATGGAATATGTTCTCATTAACACGCCATAGTGGACATATTCCATTTTCTCAAATGAGTACTGTCCTTTATTTGTTGTTGGATCTTAACCTTCAAGATCAAACCAAATGGCTGGCCGATTAGTCTGGTTTGCAAAAGACAGCAGGAGAATCGGCAAGAAACTTTTAGCTCCGACTTCCGATTTAGTGGAACAGAAAAGACGTGAAAAAAATTTAGATTCCACTTGTTTCCTGTTTTGCTTTTAGCATCTGTAGGAGATAAATGTATTTTGTGCATAGATTTTGGCCCTCTTTGATAGAAATTTTGAAAATTGATTTTTTGACTGTTAGGAGAAAAGTGGGGGTCATCTGTGAGAGGAAAAGTCAAAAATTAAGGCTGAAATAATGAAATAACGGTCAAAAAATCAATTTTTTTGAGTGAAAAATCTCTCCCAAACACCCCCTTTATAATTAACACAATAAATTAAGAGTATATTTTGTGCTGATTATGAGAATCAATTTTTCGATCATTAACTTAAAAAGTGGACTCCACTTGTGAGTGAAGGAATAAAAAATGACGGCTAATTACATTAAGTAATGATCAAAAATTTGATTTTTTTGACTTGAAAAATCAGAACCAAATAGAGATTAAAAATAAAATAATAAATATAACTCAATATTAAATTATAGAAAGTATATAAGAGTCAGAAAGCAAGCCTTTAAAGAGTCACATTAAAGATGTCCTAAAATCTTGTGTCTATCCTTCGTGTAGGCATTTTCGATACTACACGACTTTAAAATAAAATCCTTATAATTCATTGTCGATTTTCCTTCTATGGACACGAGCACAAGAAAAAAAAGAGCGAGCCTTCTATCGAGTTATAAGAACTATAGGAATATATGTACAAAATGTATAGGGGTTATTCTTTTCAAGTTGTGTTTTTCAATGAAATATCTCCTCCCTTTTATAGTGTAAAAATTCAACCACACATTCTTTAGATTAAACCATTCGAATATAACTTTAATTTTAAAATTAAGGTTTTTAATTCTTTATTAAATCTGAAAACTAAAACTAAAATTGAAAAATTAAGAAGAAGAACGTCCAAAATTTTATAAACCTGAAGTGTTACTAAAATGCATTTTCTAACAAATTATAGGTAAAAATATTATAATTATTGAAATTTTCTAACAAAATGAATCCGAACGCTGTTATATATTTTTAAATGATTCCACGGATACAAACTTCAATAAGACAATAATATTTCGAAATTAAAGTCAAAAATAAAGTCAAACATTTAATTAATGAAAACATCCTAAAAATCTCTAAATTGCTTCATGAAGTTGCGACATCATTGCCGCACATTCAACACGACCGAACTAATATGAAATTTGATAATAAGAGTCAAATTTTGAAAAGACTCTCCATTAAAATGCGTGCAATTCGTATCCAACATAATATAAACATAAATCTATCAAAAACATTTCCTAGGAAAGTTATAATAACCAAGCTACACTGATCGAAAATGATTGACATGCAATCTGATCAAACACTCACAATAGGAGGGGCCCACCTTTCTTTTTTGGAGTTTTTAATGCACGTGGGTCCTGCATGCATTGTGAGTGAAGGTCAATGCTTCTGTCATACATTTTCTGTCAACTTAAATTAATTCAAGTTATATTGTGACTCGAAGGTCTACAGTATTCTATATGCTTCATTATTTGCAAGTTAGAATTTAACCACATGCATCTTATGCATTTTATCTAGATTGGAAAGTTGTAAATCTTGAAAGAAAACTAAATTACACGCACGAAATCTTCCTTTCTTTCCTTTCTATTATTTGGCTCTCGGCTTCTGCTTGTGGATTTTAGATCTCTCCTTTGCTTTGAGGTAAATCATTAAATATGCACATCCTAGACCAATTCAAATATGCCTACTTAACAAGTAATTATACAAAGTTCTTGGTAAAGCTTTCATTTGTTAAAAAAAATATTAAATTTTGTTTTTAATCAGACATTTTATTGGATCCATAACTTTCATTCACTTTTCAAGTGCACATTTCATAAATTTATCAAATTTTTATCAACTTTGAGTAACATCACAAATTCCCTAAATCATAGTCGAATTAAATCCTATTGAATTTAAGCCAATCAAATAAACAGTTAGTGGCTTGGTGTGATTAGGATTTGATAACTCTAATTTTCTGTATGAAATCACTTTAATTTAGGATAAAATCTAGACAAGTTCACTTTGGACTACCTTTTTTATTATTTCTTTTATTTCTTTTATTGATAAATGTAAAATTTTATTTATCAAAATTTCATGTACAAGTACACCGATCATACCCGAGTAAAACAAAACAAACGTTTCATACAATTACTCAGACCATATCGAGAGAGAACGAAAGGAACAAAAATCTACTTTTTCTTGAGTCTTATCCACGTTATTAAATGCGAGCATCGTATGAACCCATTATTATTATTTTATTCATTAATTCTCGCTCCTTCAATAATCAAATATATTTATTTTAGATAAATAAAACTTGAATGCATACTTTTAGTCTCTTAACCTCTCAATATTATAAAAGAGGCCTAGTTCGAATCCCTAGCACCCAACAATCGACTCATCTCTAAATAACCATCATTTGTTACTTATTCGTCCTAACGTATAAAATTTCACTATTTGCAATTTAGTCTCTAAACCATATATCCTATAATAATTCAGGATTTTACGAAAAACTATTACATTATGATGTTGCAATGGCATTGTGTCATCAACACGATTCCAGTCCCATCAAATACAGTGTATTAGCAAATGTTAGCAGCATGGTGTGCGCAAGATATTAAAGTCCATCAAATACACAGTATCTTATAAGCGAGATATTCACATACACAATCACAAATACCATATACGAAAACAAAAGGATTTCTTTGCTCAACTATAACTCGGTCTCAAACCAAAATTTATGGGTTTGTGTTCTTACATCGACATATATAGGCCAGAGGTTTAAAAAAAAAAAAAAAATTAATAGGAGAAAATTGAAAAAATTCAACATGAACAAATGAGGAATGATGGAGCACTCTCTTTATTCGACAATAAGAAAAAGGTCCAGACTGAATATTTTCTGTCATAACTTCACATCTAGCTGCAATATTTGGTCTCGTGTTGTCAAGTACATTTTCTCCGCCAGATTGACTGGGAATATATGA